GATCATAATGTGAGAGACATTGCTCTCACTCAACTCTCAGCACTACCCACACACACAAACACACAAAGAATCAATACTTGCAAAAAGGCCACCTGATTTATACTGGAAGTAATATTTTTTGTAGAAACCTTAACTAAAAATAAAACTACAGTAACATGTTGCCAACCATTAAAATGCCAAGGTGAAGGACAAATTACACTAAATGACACAAAACCTCAATGAAACAATGACATTGAAGCACAAAAAGCAAAGCATGGGGGTAAGACAGATGTTTGACACTTTGTACCATGTGAGCTGAGCCATAAGGCAAAGCTTAGGTTTTATTGGGCTTTGTGAATCATAACCTATAGAAGAAAAATGCAAATGCACATGGCTGAAATGAGCTTTTTTTTACTGCAGGAGGTCTGAAAGCCACTCCACATTCAGGGCGAGGTAGCTCAGACACAACAAGATAGATGGATGAACAGATGGAAGTTGACCCAGGACTCTCTGGGTTATGTCTCTGAGCTGCAGTGGGAGCTGGTAGATGCTGCTCTCAACACTGAGGCCTGGGCATCTCGGCTCCCCTGGCTGCTTCAGTGAAGTTTTATTAAATGAATAAATAAATGCTGAAGCAGAGTTTTCAAAGACGGAAAATACTATTTATATATCAAAGTGAAGCTGAAATGTAAAACACTTCTATCATGAGTAAATGTAGGCAAAAACAAATGATGAAAATCTAAATTAGAGGTTATTCTTCCTAGTTAGTGTGTTATATTATTAAAACTTTTTTTGATTAAAATTCATTCTATTAATTTGCAGTATTTACTCTTAAAATGACAATTTTTGATTTGCTTTTAAATCCACAATGTCTACTGTTGCTGGTTCAAATGAACCACTGACAGAATATTGGCAAAAATATATCTTCTGCAGGATTTCTTGCATCTTTGTTCACCCACAAAAAGTTCCTTTTATTTTTTATTATTAACATTATTTTTCCAGGAAGACATGTCAATCAGCCCTGGGATTTGTTCTGCCTGAATCTCTTTAGTTTGCCTGAATAAATAAAGTTTCCTCCTCCTTCAATAATGATAATAGCATAATGTAGTTAAACTACTCTCTGGGGTTGATGCAAAGATGTGCTAAATCGGGAAAATCATATTGACTTTATAGCTTCTTTTGGTTTCCAGCAACATTCACATTAAACATGTCTAAATCTATAGGCTCATAGATTTTGATTCTGAAAGAAAACAAYGGAAAGAAAGAATCAAATGACAAGTCAGTTTCTTTCACCACTGATACATACTGACTATTATAGAAACATAATTATCAGCGTCTTGCGGTCGGATGAGCATAAATCAGGCAGGTTGATAATTCAATTTGATGCCCTTGTAATCTTATTTAGTTAATCTGTGTAAAAATAAGTTTTCATCATTGAACTGGGCTGCTGTAGTCGTGCTTATGCAGTTATTTGTGACCGGAATGAACATTTTACTAGAAATGCACCACTGGAACTATTAAATCTAACAGTGAACTGTTTCAGCTCTGAGAAGCTACATTTAAAATGTTTACTTCTTGTTTCTTTAGTTTGACAAACTATTAATCAAGGTAACGTACTAGCTGAAAAGATTACTTAAAAACAGGTGACAAACTGGACCAATCTAAATAAGCTTGCAACTTCTTTTTTTGCCATCATGACTTTTAAGTATCGGWGTGACCTGAYACCCAGAACCAATACCAATACTAGTATCAAAACTCCATTCAATGTGATACAGTTTGCATTAGTTCCATGTTTAAGAATATTAAACAAGTTATGAGAAACCATTTTTAATGTTTCAACAGTTATCATGCTGTATATTTGATTTGATCCAGTCAGAGGGGCTGTAGGCCTGTAAGGAAGGAGAGACACCTTAGTTCTAAATAAAAACAGTGTTTTAAAGTCATTGTGTAACGTTTTAAGTTTTAACTCAGTTAGTTCTCCGTATCAGTATCTGCGAGTACCCAAGCTGAAGTACACATACTTGGTTTGAGCAATATTGGTATCAGGACATCTCTACTTTAGAGGCCAATCAAATAATAATTTATTCTTGTCTGCATCATATCTCTGATGTCATTTTTGCTTTATTTGAAACAACTTCTAAAGATGGAAATTTGGGGAGAGACAAAAATCTTTATGGGGACATTTCTGGAGCAACTGAGAAATGAGTTTAATACTTCTTTAATACTACAACATKTTCAATCTTACAGTGCAGCTCATGGAGTTGACTCGGTATGGTGGATGACAAAAGCGCACGTTAGATTTCCGAAACAAGTCTTGACCTGCTAAAGGACACCGTGTGTCCAACAGCATCCACGTTGTTAAAATCTCAGCTGCAACATTATAACTGTCAGCCGGCGCAACACCGAATCCCACCTGAAATGAAAATGATGCTAATTCGCCAGGACAAACAAGTCCCACTGATTGTTTCCTGGAAATGATGCACCTACAGTCCAATAACTCCGAAATGATCCTACATTAAAACATAACTTGTTTTTAGTCCTAAAGCGCAAATTAGTAAAAAAAAACAACAGACTCAACAAAAACATGAGTATAAAACATTGAATCTTACACTGTGCTGCATCGTTCTCCACACAATCCTCTGGTATGCAGCATAAAAAGGCAAGGAAACAGAAAAATCCTTATTAATTGAATTGAGTGTAAATGAAAAAAAATATTGGACACAAAAAACTAAATAAAAGRTTACTGCTGTTCAGAAGACATCAAGGATGTTTGGGAATTAATTAAAATGGTCAAAAACTAATTATTACTACAGCAACAAATATCTTATTTATTTTATTTGAAAAGCTTTAGATATTGGATGAACTGCAATTACATTATAATTAACAGCACAAATGATTTAATTTCTCATATAAAACTATAAATACCAATATATCATAATGATGTGCTTTGAAAGTTGATGTTTAATTCAAACTGGATTGTGTGTCTATTGRCAACCTTTAACCCGATCCAAGAATCTATTGAACAAACATCCAGATGATCTGACTCAAAATGAASGTGAGCTTTAGAGCAATGATATGTGTGGTCAGCCAAACAACATCTATCCATCTCCCTTTATCCATTTTTTTCCCYTTTCTGTTTGCCAAGTACACAGAGATGAGAAGGGTGCTGATCACACTGCATCACACCTTCCTCTGCCCTTTTGGGGGTAAAGCTGTTGATTTGTTAACAAACACAAATCGATAGAGGGGCCTGAGCGGGAGGACAAGTACAAAGAATTAATTTCCGGCTGCGGGGGCATACGGTGGCAAATCATCCGCTTTAATCAACGGTGTCAAGACAGAAAGACAAACGATGTTTACTCTGAGTCGGCGCATCTCGTCTGAAAACAGTATCAGCTTTGTGTCCTTACCAGCCGGTCTAAGCTTGTGCCAGCTGCAGTGGTGGGTGGCTCCTCTGGATTGTAGGGCCTGAAGCGGGTGCTGAACACATCCGAAACACCACGAGTGGACCTCGTGATTCCTGCAGGTTTGGGCTGGCCGCAGCCTTGAAAAACCTGCAATTACAAAAAACATGGGCACACAGCTGTCAGCGGCTTGAGCGAGTTTGGTCGCAGAAAATAAGGAAAACACGCTTTTTCTTTTTTTCTAAAGATCCTGTGAATCATTCTCCCCACACCACCAGTGTGCTCTGTGTCAACACAAGGTGACCACATTTATAAGTCAGTTAGTCAGGAGCTGTGACCGATGCTATTTAAGGTGGTTGAGTTTAGTTTTTACAGGCTTTTGGGGAAAACACCACACGTAGTTAAACCCTAAACAAAACTGCATGTGCAGCATGAGAAAACCAACAAAACATTAGACTTCGACTGGGAACTGGCATCCAAATCAGAGCAGGAAAAAAATATTCCTCACAACCACTTTTTTTTCTTTCTAACTACAATTTTGTGGTCAAAGAAAAATGCACTTAAACACAGGAAACACATTAAATACTGTTAGTCGGACTATGATTAACTGACCAAATTGGAACATGCAATTCAAAGACATGACCTAAACTTAAACAAAATTAGAACGTGCTGTTTTACACACCTTAAATACCAACCAGCAAGCTCCTTGACTTTGTACAAAGAAGACCGGCTTCATCTGTCTGTCTGCTGAGCAACTTTTTGTTCCTTGACTTACCCTGTAGGAGACTTGGGCGCTGTTATCTTGCATATTCATGATGGCCTCTGATATCTTGACATCAATGGGGTCCATGACAGACTCAATGTTGAAAGGCCCTTCAAGCCTCTGTGCCACCAGCAGCATGGCATCTGTTCCAGTTCAGAAAAAGAAATACAGTACATACATACATAAATGTGTATATATACAAATCTACTATATTTGGCGTAATGTAAGAGTAGATTTGGATAACTTAGCGTTAGTGTTATGGTTTTATGTTTGATTTGGCATTTTAATAAGGCCGATATAAAAAAACACAAATTAAAGACAACAAATCAATAAAACTCTTGTAGGGGTAACCCTGGTGAAATAAACATTTCTAATTTTTTGTCTTTGATTTTGCTTTTACACTTATAAGAAGAAAGTCATTTTAAAGTTTGTTTCTATTTTCTTTAAGTGAATAGGACAATATGTTCTATATGTTTTCTTCATTTAATCTTCTATTAGAGG